GGGGGGGGGGGGAGGTATAAAGAAGATGGACAGGTTCTTTCCAGTGTTGTCTGGTGACAGAACAATAGGTAATTGGCACAGATCAAAATGTGGGAAATGCTATTTAAACCTAAGAAAACCCTTTTTACTGTAAGGGTGGTAGAACACTGGAACAGGATACCCAGAGAGGCTGTGGAATCCCTATCCTGGAGATATTCAAAACCCAACTGGACGCAGCCCTGAGCAACCTGCTCTCGTCGCCCCTGCTTTGAGCAGGGGATAGGACTGGATGATCTCCAGAGAGAGTTAATAGAAGATGCTACAGCTGTACCTGTTTCATGTGTCTTTTGAAAGAGATAAAGTAATAAAATAATTTGGATTAGAAAGGACCTCTAGGGAACATTAGGTAGTTGTAGGCTGCAGTATGATTGCCATTTAGCCATCTTTTCTTAAAGCTGAACAAACCCATCTCTCTCTTTCCTCTTCCCCCCCACCTGCAACACAGTGTGCTCCAGCCCCCCATCATCTTCATGGCCCTCCAGTGGACTTGCATGTCAACATCTGTCTTTTACCAGGGAGCCTAAAGCTGGACACAGCACTTCCAGTACAGGCTCACAAGTGCTGAATATGGGGAAATAATCACTTCCTTTGGCCTGCTGGGTTTTCTCTTGTTAATACCATCCTATGCATTTGGCTGCCTTTACTGCTGTGGGACACTGCTAGCTTCTGTCTTGTGCTGTTGTTTGGAAATGCACAGTACTGAGTAAACATGCATGTGTGTGCACATGCATATGTCTATACATGTGCTGAGGACATAGAGTTAAACCATGCTCAGTCTGCCTTCCTCTTCACATGGATTATAGTCATTGCTACTGATCATGCAAATTCATTAGTATTTCTAGATTATGTGGGTTTATATACAGTAATAAAGTGTACAATTTTTTTCTACTCTCCCAGAAAATAAAACTTGAACTCCAGCAGATAAAGAAGCAAGTCATGGTAAGATACCATACCAATATAATTAAGGATTAACACCTGTCTAGTTTGCTTTAAAAAAAAAAATAAATTTTGCTTTCAAGATTTTATTTTAAAAGCTGTGCTTCATTGTTGTGATATATAGGATACTGAAATTGCAGTTGATGGTACGCTGTGGGCTGCAGCAAAGACAATTTCATGCATGCTTCATTTATGATGACAGAGAACTGTGAATGGTACAAGAGGTGAAGAAAAATTTAACTGCCGATTTTTTTTTTTTTTTTTACTTACATGTCCTTAGTTCAGATTCAGAAAGTGGCTGCCATGTCGTGGTTAAGGCTGAGTGAAGTTCTGCATTTAGGCCTGCCTGTTGCATGTAAAGATGCAACATACTTTGAAAATTACAGCACTTGCTAATTGGATTGAGTTGGGGGGGGGGGGGGGGGTGTTTTTT